AAAAGTGTGAAGCGGATGGCATCACTTCCTCCATCTCACCCATGAAGACCTGAAGCCTGTGAAAGGGAAGTAACTGTTTTCTTTTTTTGGAGTTGGAGTCTCACTCTGTCGCCCAGTCTGCAGTGCTGTGGTACACTCACTGCCACTCCAGCGTCAACCTACTAGGCTCCGGTGAGCCTTCTGCCTCAGCCTTCCAAGTAGCCGGAACTACAGATGCATACTACAATGCCCGGCTAATATTTTATTTATTGTAGATACAAGGTCTCGCCAAGTTGCCCAGGCTGGTCTCGAATCCACAGGCTTAGGCAATCCATTCGCCTTGGCATCCCAAAGTGCTGGAATTACAGGCTGAGCTTACAAGCCTGGCCCGGAAGTAGCTTTTTCATAGCCATATAGCTGGTAAGTGGCAGAGCCAGACTCTGAACCTAGGTGCTGCAGATGCAAAGCATGTGTATTTAACTTCCAGTCTATGCTACATTCCCTCTGACATTTCTCTAAAGCTTTGAGTTGCTTGAAGGCTTATCACTTGTCAGCGGTTTGTATTACTGAAAATCACTTGAAAATCCCCATTTCAGGCTCAAGGACTCCTGTGGGTCTCAGGTCTCAGGTCTCCAGGTGAGACTAACCAGGTCTACATAGGAGTACCTCCTGAGGCACTCCTGAAGCCACCCGCAAGGAATGCAGAGGGGTGAGTGCCTGCATTCCTCAGTTGATCAGACCCCCATGGAAACTGATAAGAGCCAACCCTGTCACCAGTTACTGCTGGAGAAAATAGTGTCCCCTGAGTGAAAAATTGCTAAACCTGAAAATAGGTTGCTGAGGGCATTGAAAAAGAGGTTTTCTTCTCTGGCAGTATCTTCTTTGAACTGGCCTAGATACAGTTCTGCCAGGAACAGGTTGGATGGGCAAGAGACCCCGCCCCTTGGAACCCGCAGGGAGCTGCAACCCATTTGTTTATCATCATAATCCCTCACCCTGCACATTTTACTTCCTTAACATACCTCAAAGAAAAATATTTTATTAGTGTCCCCAGTGTGCATTTCTTTTTGGTACACTTCACTCCACACCTCTAACTGTTTGTCAGGAACTAGATCCCTGAGAGAACAGGCACTCTGAGTTAGTAGAAAGAGCACTGGACTCAGGATCCTGGTTCAAGCAGGCCCATGTGCTTATGAGCTGAGTGACCTTAGACAAGTCACTTCACCTCTCTGAACTTCAATACAGCTCAAAATTCCTATCCAGGACAATCTAGGGATTATTTGTAGCTAGCTGCAGTTTAGGTAATAGGTGGAAAAGCACTTTGAGAAGGAATTAAGAGCTCTTTATGCATGTCAAAAGGTGTGATTTTTGCAGTGTGTTCTCTGCAGTGCATGGACTCATACATGCAAAAAAGAAATAGTTTTTGGAAATTTTAGTAGCTCAAGTTTAAAGATTTCAATATGTGTCTCTCTTCCTTCTCCTTATTCTCAACAAGGAGGGCCTATTTCATGTACCAGATTATTTCAGTAACACACTTTTCCTGTATTTAATTAATCACACCAGAGCTTTGTTAAGGTCTCAGATAGTGAATGGATCTTACCCCTTAGTTTGCTTCCTCCATTGATGAGTTGTTAAGAGTCTTCTCTTTCTGGTAAGGGAGAAGGAGCCATCTAAAAAAAATGAAAGTTTCCTCCTTAAGTGTAAAATTCATTTTCAAAAGGAAAACTTATGCCTTGTTTTTAGAGCTTTTCCTGCCTCAACTGATTCTAAATGGTCTTTAGCTCAAAATAATATATAGGCCAAAGAGGCATATTTTGGAGTGCCAAATCTGGTACCCTTCACCTGAAACTTGTACTCAAACCTTATGAGTAAGATAGTTCAGCCACCCACCCTGGCTCCCTTCCATGTTGAATCAAGCCCTGCAACTCCAAGTCTTAAGCTCTAGTGTTTTCCTCTTCCCTGGGTTACTCACCAACCTCCATGTGCTCATTTCCCCACTCGCAGTCACAGGACACAGCACAGCCCATGTGATCCCACAAGCATGATATGACATAGCACACGTGCAAGCTGCCTTTTCTCCAAATCTCATCTGCTTCATTCCACACTTTTCATCTTCATCCCTCAGCTATCAGTATCCTCGTTCATTCATTCAAAAATTATGTATTGAGCATCTATTATGGACTAAGTCTGAAGATACAGATTTAATATCTTTGTTGTTGAACAGACTTTGCCCTCATGAAGTATACAGTTTCATGAGGGGAGGGGATATTAACCACGCAAATACATGTGATAAGTTTGTGTGTGTCAGGATGGGGTATTTGAGAGCAGGGAGCTTCTACTTTGACTTAGAAGTTATCAAGAGAATGAGAAGGAATTAACTAATAAAGAGTGAGGAGAAGCAGATGTATTAGGCAGAAGAAGCAGTATGTGAACTGGCCCAAGAGTAGGAAGAACATGAAGAAAAATGCGGCACCTGGAGGAACAGAAAGAAAGCCAGTGTGTCTGATGAATGGAGAGTGAGAGGAGAGTGGAATGAGATGAAGAAGTTGATAAGGGCCACACAGGGCCCGGTAGGACTACAGTCTTTATTCAAAGAGCCATGGGAAGACACTGAAGGATTTTTTAGCACTAGGGGACTTTGATTTCAGGAACATCACTCTTGTTACTACATAGAAAATAGATTGAAAAGAGAGAAGAAAGGTTTTTATAAAGTCATTATGGCACTCTAGGCAATAGATGCTGGAAGCCTGGACCAGGGAGGTGGTGTTATTGATGAAAGAGTGGATGAACCAGGAACTGTTTAGGAAATAGAATTGAAGGAGTTGGCAATGGGTCACTTTAAAGGAGAGAGGAAAATGTCAAGAATGATTTTGGGGGGTTGGGATTATTAAAGTAAATATATGGGTAATATTCACTGAGAAAGGGAGCAGGAAAGAGAATCCATTTTGTTTGGGGTCTTTGTTTTGTCTTGTTTTTGAGTCATAGGGGTGGAAGATTAGATCATAAATTTGGGTTGGGATATGTTGAGTTTGAAGTACCCTTGAGATATGCAAAGGAAGATGTCAGATATGCAGTTAAATAGAAGTCATTAATAGAGCAATGACTCTAAAACCAAGGATGATTTTGTTTTCCCAGGGGACACTTGCCAATGTCTGGAGATATTTTTGGTTGTCATAATGGGTGTGGGTAGCTACTGGCATCTAATGAATAGAGGCCAGTGATGCTGCCAAATGTCCTACAGTACATAGGACAACCCCATCCTTCACAGCAAAGAATTATCCAAACAAAAATACCAGTAGTGCCAAAGGTGAGAAACTCTGCTTTATAGATGTTTGGGAGTCATTGGCCAAAAATCCTTGGGCATTGATTAGATCACATAGAGAAAGAATAAGAGTAAGAAGAAAAGTGGGATGGTACAAACTTTTAAGGAACTTTAATGCATATAATGACTTTGGGGAGAATATTTAGGTGGATATTTATATAATGAATGAATGACTTACCCAGCATAAGAGACTGAGAAAGAGCAGCCAGAGAAGTAGGAAAAAAACTCAAAGAAAATGAAGTCATAGAAGCCAAAGGTTAGGTAGGAGAGTGATTAAAAGTACCAGATGCTATTCAGAAGCCAAAGGAGCTCATGGCTGATAAGTATTCATTGCATTTAGGGATGTGGAGATCATTGGTAACCTTAGCAAGAGCGGTTTTGGTTGAGATGATGTTGAGAGACATTGCAGTGGTTTGAGAAAGGAGTCGGAGATGAAAAAATGGAGGCAGCTGGTATAGGCAGAGTTTTTAAGAAGTTTGGCAATGGAAAGGAGGCGAGTGAAAGAATAGTCCTGGCAAGTGTGGGTGTCAAGAACAGTTTGGGGTTCAGTGGTTTATTTTTTGTGGCTGTTTTATTTTGTTTAAATTTTTATTACATGTAAAATAAGCAGAATATTATAATAGACTTCTAGGTACTCTGGCTTCTATGGACTCTGGATTCTGTTTTACTTCTTAGATGAGTAATGTTTGTTCTAAGAGAGAGTTAATTTGGCTGGACTCAAATGCCAAACTCTGTCTCTCTTAATCAGCAATAATTGAAATCTCTACTCAGTACTTTCAGCTTCCAGCTGCAGGGTTCTTTTTGCCAGCCCCTGGGTATGCATAGTTTAATGGTCAGTCAATGATTTGGGCAGATTTCATACACAGTTCTGGGGGTTCATTCCCTCTGCAGCTCCTTATCTCCCAGAATCTTCCACCCTTCATTTCCTGGCTGCTTTTACAGCCCCAGCATTAATCTCTGATACTTCAACTTAGTAGGATTTTGGTTTTTTGATTCCCCAAGTTATTTGCAGATTGGACTGCCCTCAGGCAAAAAATTGCAAGCTTGCAGATCTCAAGAGGTGTAATTCCTGCTTTCAGAGGTAGATTCCCCTTTTCATTTCTGCCTGCTTTTGGCCAACCTCCATTGCCTTAAACACACACACACACACACACACACACACACACACACACACACACATTTTGCAGGTTGGCTCACAACTGGCATCCCCCCCTTTCTATGCCCAGCTGCACCCCCACTGCAGGGACCTCACACATATGTGTCTGGACACCCCAACCCATATGTCCAAGTTCTAGTCACAGCCCAAGTCGTAAGGGTTCAGCTATTGCCATGAGGTCTGTACTTGGGAGGAGGGACCTGGAGAAGAGACTCAAACAGTCCTTAGAAACAGTCTTCAGGACCTTGGGTCAAAGAATTCTAGGATCTTGGGTACCTAGTCTTAAGGGAGGAAGGGAGGATGCAGACTCTGATGCATACAGGCTCCAGGTGGGCACAGCCCTAGACTCCTTGCCTTGTGGAGAGAAGCAATTAAAGGAAGGCTGGAGCAGGACCCTCTAAACTGCTGGGGCTTGAACCGAGATTCGTCTTGACTAGACCTATGTGCAAAATTAAGCGATTCAATACACAGTACTGTGGACTTTGCTCTGTACCTAGTTTGACTGCCTGGTTTCTCCTTGTGTATGTGCTTTGTTTCTTTCAGTGGGCTGTTTATCACCATTCATGACAAAGGTCACATTGCAACAATGCTGAACTCTTGGCCAGAAGACAATATCAAGGTATGATCCCGTTTTCATTCTATTGCTCCATTGTTAGGTGAATCCTTTCATCCTCCACCAGAGTCACGTCCAGCTATAAAGTGAGTCATTGTGACACTGAAGGCAACATGCTGCTCCCTGTCCCCAAGCCATATACCTATTACAGCCAGCACAAATGCACCACAGAGTAAAGGTTTGCGCTAATCAAACACCTATGTGAAATTGCCTTTTATTATTATTATTATTATTATTCAGGCAACTTGGTGAGACCTCTACAATAAATCAAGCCAGGCGTGGTAGCATGCACCTGTAATTCCAGCTACTTGGAAGGCTAAGGCAGAAGGATCGCTGGAGCCTAGTGGATTGATGCTGGGGTGGCCATGAGTGTGCCACTGCACTCCAGCCTGGGTGAGGGAGTGAGTTTCCATGGTCAATGTGCAGAAATCAGGCATGGACCTGCTTCTTAAATAGCTGACATGTCATGAGGAAAACAAGACATAGACACCAAAAAGGTGGAACTTGGTCAGAGATAAACGAGGTACACAAGAAGAGCTGAGGGTCTGTGAAAAGGCAGAGATGACTTTTAGCTTGAGGAGACTCTGGGATGACATGGGGGGAGTGACAGTGGAGCTGTGCCTTGAATTCAGGGGTAGAGTTTGGATAGTTAGACATTGGAGAGACTGGGATGTAGGGTGAGGACATTCTGTACCAAGGGAAAAAGTTGGTGATGAACAGTATCTTCACACTCGTACACAGCAGTGTGGGGATGTGGGGCATCAATTCAGCGTGACAAAATAAACCTGGCACTTCTTCCTGGAGTATCAGCTTTCCTCAAAAAAATTCAAGGTGAAATATTTTTATATAACCAACAGTATATATGTGGAATGCAAAGCTGTGTTAATTCTTAAATATGAAACTTTGTAGAAATATGTTAGCCTCTGGCTAAATTCCCAGATCTCTTCCTGCTATAGGGACATCTATGGAAGAGTTTGAGGGACTCTGACATCTAAGATCTTTGACACTTCTGGAAACAAAATGGGCAAAGCAAACGTGCAAACCATCTACTGGCTAGTTGGTGAGAACATTTTTGGCACATGAGCTGGGGTGGGGCTGGAGCTGACAAAGCACAGCATAAGCAATGCTCAGGGCCACACGCACACCACCCTACCTCGACTGGAGGGCCATGGCACTCACCCCTATTTTCTCTCCAGAGACTCCTTTCGCCTTTCCTCCAGTTCCTTGAACACCCCCACCCTCACCACTCTCCAGTTTCTTCCTCTCTGTGTCCAACCCTCTTCTGGCCCTCTCTGGAGAACGTTAGCATTTAGGACCAGAGCCAAGGGTGGGGTGGTGGAGGAAGACCTTGGCTCTCAGGAGGCAGACTTGGGCCACAGCCAAGGCCCTCGGACTTACAGTCCTGACTCATTTTGTACATCTCTGTCTGGGTGTGATTTTGCCTCAGCTTCTCCTTCTTACTTTTCTGCTTAGACTCCAGTTATGCACAGATTTTGGTCCCAGGCCCAGAGAAGCAAGTTTCTGGACATGTCTAGGAAGAATCTATAAAATCTTGAAGACATGAAGGGAAGCCAGCTTACTTGATGGGCCAACCTGAGAGGACATGCTGCAGAGGTGCTGCAAACTAATTTTTTGCACATTCCTGGACAGTTCATGAGGAAACCTTACACAGAGAGGCCTGCAGCCAATGCTTGCTAAGTTGAATGGACTCAGTCGACAGGCATAGGGTCTTTTGTGTTCTGGGCACTGCGCCAGGAGCAGGGAGATGGGTCTCCACTAATACATTTGGAGCTTTGTGCAAATTATGAGGAATTAGAAAGAATGATGAAAAGGTACCCCTCTTTAACCAGTAAGAAAAAGGCACCCTTCCCTTCAAGCAGGCACAGGGCTTGGTGAAGGGCTCAAGGGCTAGATCTCAAGTGTCAGTTGCTCCTCTTGTCAGGGGACAAGTTAACACAATGCATCAAGAGCCCTGCTGTGAAGGATGCAAAATTTAAAAAAAAAATAGATCCTACCCTTAAATTGCTTCATAGTATGGGTGGGAAACCAACATACAAATTCAAAATGGAACCTTAGGAGCCAAATATCTATTGACTTCAATAAATATATTTTGAGAACCTTCTAAATACTGAGTGCTAATTACCAGAGAGATGGAGATAGTAACTGTTGTGATTTTAGAAGAAGAGAAACAAGGACTTTGGGCACCCTAGAAGAGGAACCCAAGCAGGCCCAGACAAAGAGAGACACCCGGAGCCTCTAAGGAGCATGTGAGTTGCATGAGCAGATCTGGGTCAGTTGCATTCAACCACCCTTTAGTAAACATCTCTGGGAGCTCCCTGAGGTTCGGATACAAGGAAGGTGTATGGCGCTCAAAACTCAAGGGACTTGAAGCCTCTTTAGAGAAACTGACCGAGAAACAATGACAGTACAGTGTGTCTTTGCTGCTGAAAAAAGCCTGAGCATGGGTAGCAGAGAGGCAACTGGCCGTAGTACCTCAGAATACTGAGGCCACCTCCACCCTTTATTCCTGCCTCACTTAGGATAACCTGGAGGTCAGTCCCAGTGACTATGGTGGAATTAGACCCAACTTTGCCATAAGATAGACTTGGGGTTCTGGTCATGACTCTTCCACACACCTGCTGTGTATGCAGACATCCCCCTGAGCTTTGTTTTTCTATTGTGAGGATGAACTGTGATAAAGTCTGTACACACTGAAGGGTACTTGAATGGATGTTGTCATTACTGGAGGTGGCAGAGGTGGCTTTGGCATACTCAGCAGTACAGAACATAAGGGCAGCCATGGGGTGGAGGGGGGATCGCTTACCTGGGAATTACAGGCCACAAGTAGGCAGTCAGATGATTTGGTCCCTAGACATATTTAATTTGACTGTTAGTGGTTTTGAAAAGTTTGAATTTGTAGGCAACATTTTTTTTTTTGAGGTGGAGTCTCATTCTGTCACCCAGGCTGGAGTGCAATGGCACACTTACAGCTACCCCAGCATCGACCTGCTGGACTCCAGCAATCCTTCCGCCTCAGCCTTCCAAGTAGCTGGAACTATAGGCACACACTACCATGCCCAGCTAATTTTTGATTTATTGTAGAGACGAGGTCTCAACAAGTTGCCCAGGCTGGTCTCAAACCCATGGGCTCAGACAGTCCACTCTCCTCAGACTCCCAAAGTTCTAGGATTACAGACTGAGCCACTGAGCCCGGCCTGTAGGCAACATTTTAAGATCAGGAGATTTCATAAAAATTATATGCCAAAACATTGGGTTTCTGGCTTCTCTGGAAAAACCAGGAGCTCTGAATGTTGTGCCTATAGCTTGGCACATAAACAAATCAACTTTGGCTGACTAGACTGCCCCAGCTCACCCCTGCCCACTCACCAGCATTTTTCTGATGGTTACCCTTCCTACACCCCTAGGGTATCCTTTCAAAAGTTCAGAATGTTCCAAGCTGCAGTCTTTCCTGTTTCCTGATGTGTTTTCTCCAGTTGCCTTAAAAAGAGGAGAGGAAGGAGGCTGGGCGTGGTGTCTCATGCCTATAATCCCAGCACTTTAGGAGGCTGACTCAGGAGGAACACTTGAGCCCAGGAGTTTGAATCCAACCTGGGCAACATAGCAAGACCTCACCTCTCCAAAAAGTAAAAAGTTAGCTGGGCATAGTGGTGCACAGAAGACTGAGATGGGAGGATCACTTGAGTCCAGGAAGCTGAGGCTTCAGTGAGCTAGAATTGTCCCACTGCACTCCATCCTGGCCAACAGAGTGAGACCCTGTCTTGAAAAATAAATAAATAAATAAAAGAGAGGAGAGGAAGGTCTCCCCACCTAGGTAGGGAATCTCTGCTCATTATCCTTTTCTGGCACTGTGGAGCTCACGCAGGACTTCACTTTCACTCTGTTTGGAGTCACTGTGATCACAGTGGAGTAAGGACCCCCTTGTGAAGCTCCTAAGTGGGTCTTGAAGCATGAGTAGGAGTGTGACTTTTCTCAGATGGGCAAGCTGTGACTTGCCCAAGGTTACTCACAAATAAGTGTTAGTGCCCAGTCCAGATCCCTGCTGCTGAGGCACGGCTCCCACAGCTACTGAGTGGGGGACAGTTTTTCAAGCCGCAGTTTTCTTTGGACCCTGATGTTGCTGGCTGCTCAGCTGGGGAGGAGGGGTTGTTCAGAGGAGCCTCTCAATCAATTCAGAAGGTAAAAAATGACGTTCTGTGGTTTCTCAGCAAGAAAGCAGAGCTGCAAACTGAGATGTAAGAAACACAGACTGAGAAGGGGATGGAGCCAAAGCCTAGGGTTTTGTGGGCCCTGCTTGTTCAAGAAGAAGGGACTGGCCAGGCTAGGCCACCCTGAGCTGGCTGGTGTAAATCACAAGGAAGAACGAGAACTACTCTTCTGACTCCCACAGTGGCTATTACCTGGAGCTGAAAGAAAAGCTGAAAATAGCCCCCTCCCCAACCGTTTCCCCCAGCTCCTAAATCCCTCACCTCAGTCCCAGCAGCTCTGGGGGAGGAGATGCTGAGGTGTAGATGGGTAGTGGAGCCAAGAGACCATCCTCCACCACAGGGTACCAGCCTCTTAGGTGCTGAAACTTGGAATAGATAACTAGTGCCAAGGGTCTATCCATTGTGCGCAGGCCCACCTGTGCTTAGTGTCAGAGGTTGGATTTCCCAGGAAACCGTCCCCAAAATAGAAGTCAGCATACTAGGGGATGCTCTTGGGTCAACCCTATGAAAGGGAAGAGAGCAGGACAGAGTAGCGGGAGAGGTTGGGCTGCAGCACGGTCTCAAGGAAGGCTCATGTCACAAAAAATAGGGTGCAGCACCTTCTCTCTGATCTTGCTCATCTATACCCCGTCTGGACTTTGTCCAGCACAGAAGTCTCTCTGTGCTCTCTGTTGGATCTGTCACACTGGCCAGCATCTGTGAGTATGCATCATCGCAGGCACCGAGCTTAGTGCTGATGAATCAAAGATGACACAACCTATTACTTGCCCCTAAAGAGCTTCAAGCCACTGTGAACCACAGGGAAATGTGCATGACTATCATACAAGGAAGAGCGCATCAGGTGCTGTAGGAGATGAAAGTGCTGTGGGCATTCAGGGGAGGGAGTGATAACTTCCAGAAAGGAGGCTTCCTGGAGGGAAGTGCCTTTGAACTGTTTCTTAAAACACTCAAGGATGGTAAGATTTATATCAAGGCAAAAAAGATCAAGAAGTAAAATGGCATGTGTTTAAGAAAGTGCAAATCTTGTACAAAATTGGAAGTGTTTAAGTTTGGATGGAGCATGGAGAGGATGAAGGGAAAATTCAAAGAACAGATTGGGCCTAGTTCATGGCAGGCCTTGAATGGCAATCTAAGATGTTTGACTTTTATTTTATAGGTATCAGGGCCCACTGCAGATTTGGGGACAAGAAAGTGATACATCTGAGCTTGCTTTTGAAAAATGAAACAAAATGGGAAAAATCTAAGAGTAGAGAGAGCAATCAGGAGACCCCATAGTGGTTCAAGGGAAAGTGGATGGGCTGAGCCAAGGCAGTACGCATCATCGCAGTACGCATGGCGCAAGGATCAATGTCAACGTTGGAGCAAATGGCAAAAGTAGGGAGCAGGAAAAATCAGGAGAACTTGGTGACCAATTGACTAATGACAGGGGAGTCAAAGCAGATTGGATGGTTTTGAACTTGGGAGACACAGGGTAACAGACAGTAAAAGTAAAACGTCTCAGGTTGGGCTTGGTGGCTCAGTAATCCCAGTGCTTTGGGAGGCTGAGGTGAGTGGATAGCCTGAGCCCATGGGTTCGAGACCTGTCTGGGCAACTTGGTGAGACCTCATCTCTACAATAAATTAAAAATTTGCCTGGCGTGGTAATGCGCCCCTGTAGTTCCAGCTACTTGAAGGCTGAGATGGAAGGATCGCCAGAGCGGCCACTGCACTCCAGTCTGGGTGACAGAGTGAGACTCCAACTCAGAAAAAAAAAAAAAAAAGTAAAAAGTCTCAAAAAGAGTAAGAGGGAAAAGGAAAGGACTTGTGGAATTTGACAGGACTAGTAGACATCCAAGTGGCACTGTCCAGCGAGAGTTAGCTACGTGTGTCACCTGCAGAGAGAAGACAGCAGGAGCCATTGCAGTGGATGAGGATGTCAAGTTTAAAATGCTGTGAAGCTTTGCGTGGCCAGACTTCTTAAAAGTTGCATTTGCCAAGGTCTCCCCCCCGGTTTCTCTTTCACTCACTCATTTGACAGATAATTATTGCAGAGTCTGCCTGTGTTAATGCTAAACTAGAGAGATAAGAAATAATTTAATACTCTATAATCTGTGCCCCAAATAATAGTCAGTCACCATTACTATCACAAGAGCAGTGATCATTTACTCATCACACTTACTTTATACAAGGCACCAGGTTAAAATAAGACATGTATTATTTCATTTCATCATTATAACCACCTGAGTATTATTATTATAATACCAATTATATAGAAAATTGAAGCTCAGAAAATATATCTATTTGTCTAAGATTACACATGGCACATCATCAAGGAACCTAGATTCAAAACTGGTCATCAGACCCCAACCCCCTACAATTAACCACTAGGCTGTTTGGTGAGATAAATTGTGCATTTAAAAAAATGTTAATTAACAACCCAGATGCCTTCACCATCAAATGTCTAAGTAGCACCTTGCTTGGGTCTTGGCATGCAGTAGGTACTTAATAAAAGTTGTGGAAGGCAGACAGGTGGACAGGAAGGGTATATGGTAACTATAGCAGTTTAGGGGAAAGAGAAATCTCAGTAGATTTTAATGGGCAGGATTTGTGCTGCTGGAGAATGGGGAGAAGAACCTTCCAGGAAAAAGGAAAATGGCGGCTGAGAGGGAGAGATGGTGGGTGAATCCAGAGTGTGTCTGGGAGGAGTGAGAAGGGAAGGCCAGTGTGGCCAGAGAGGCAAATGTGTGCAGACATGGAGCTGAAGATAAGTTTCAAAAGGTCTGCTGGGTTCAGGTTCGTAATTAGCTAAATATTTCATGCTTATGTTTCACTCTAGTCTATGGACAGTTAGAAGTCACTGAAGGTCTTCAAGCCTGGAAATGGCATAATGAAAATGGACTTTTGACACAAGGAATCTGACAAGGTTGGCGGGAGAGATTGGAAGGAAGGAAAATGAGACGCAGGCAGTCTGGGTGTGGAACTCTTGCGATAATCCAGTCATAAGCTGGGTTGAACTGAGAATGGACAATGATGGAGTGAGACATTCTCTCAGAGGAGTCAGGCATGCAGTAGAGGGTCCTGGGGCACTTCCTGGCTGGGAGAGTGGCACTTCAGAGACCCTGCACCAGCCTAGAGCTAAAGGGATAGGACCCTGGAGTAGATGATTTCCTGCGTAGCTTCATGTCACTCACTGCCCCTCAACAGAAAGAAGGATTCTGAGAAAATGAGAACCCAAACAAAGAAGCTTTATTTTTATTTTTATTTGTTTTGAGTTGGAGTTTCACTTTGTTGCCCAGGCTGTAGTGCAGTGGCACAATCATGGCTCACTGCAGCTTTGACTTTCTGGGGTCAGGAGATGCTTCACCGCAGCCTCCTGAGTAGCTGGAACTACAGGTGTATACCACCACACCTGGCTAACTTATTTATTTTTTGTAGAGATGAGGTCTCACTGTGTTGCCCAGGCTGGTCTTGAATTCCTGAACTTAAACAGTCCTCTTGCCTTGGCCTCCCAAAGTGCTGGGATTATGGGTGTGAGCCACTGTGCTCAGCCCAAGGAAGCTTTAATTAGTAGAGATGATAAGGGAGTGCCTAGAGTTTGGACACCCAGGGGCAGTGTGAGGGCACAATCTCCAGCAGGGAGAGTTGCCAAGAGGAAGTCAGATGTGGCTGCAAAGAGGGTGGTACCAAGGCAGGCAGGACTTTGCCAAAAGTATGCATGCTTTTAGCTCAACCAGGGAGGGTGTTAGAAGCATCCCTGAATTAGGACCCCAAAGCTCGATTGGTAGCCTGCCCTGCCACATGCGTAGGCAAGGTAACCTTGGTAAGTCATCTAATCATTCTAAGTAGCTGATGTGGAAACGTCCTGCCCAGTGCCTGGCATGTGACTGATACTTAACAAATATGTGTAGAGCATGAGGGTCTCAATTTGCTCACCTGTGAAGCAGGACAGCAGTCACAGACCTGCCTACCTGCTGGGGCTATAGGGAGGACCACACGAAATGTGGCTGTAAGCTCTCTGTGGAGGCAGTAGACCAATCTAAGGGAGAATATCATGGTTTTAATGGGTGTGCGGCACTCTCCAGAGACCCATTTTCAGAAGTGGAGGAGTGTTTTTAAGACTTTCTATAGCTGTTTTCATCAAAAGGCAGCACCATACCATGTGGCTCTCACCCCTGCAGAGCAGAATGGAAATGAAATAGACCCTGTGGCTACTAGATCAGAAACTCTTCCAGGGCAAGAATGGGTCTTAATCTTTTTCCCTAGTACCCAGCCTTGTACTTGAAACCATCTAACCAAATCCCATGGTACACACTGGCACCATGCTTGAGGCCATCCAGGAACTGATCTAAACCAGGTTCCAATGAAGGGATGTTATTGTTTTAGAGGTGAAGGAAGCCAGTGGTGCTGAGTGGGTTGGCGTGGCCTATAAACAAACTTTTCTGTCACCCTGAGGATTCTCCTTGGCCTGGCATTCAATGCTCTTCACTGTCTAACTCTTGACTTATTTTCCACTCTTTCCTTTTATGAAATTGTGCTTCCTTGCACCCCACGCATTCCCTCATCACCCCCACCACCTCTACCCTGGATCTTGACTTTCTTTTCCATCAAATGCCTTTCTCTCCACCCACTCCCACAGTTTCACCTGTCCACAGTGTGGGGTGTGTGTTTCCTCATCCATGAAGAGTTGTCCTGCAGGAAGTAACTCTCTGTCTCCTCATTCTGCCACCCTTGATGCTGTTCTGCTGTAACACTCAGGATTAATATACACATTCTCTTTCTTATTAGTGCAGATTTAGGGGGTAGGTCTATGCACATTTGTTTTTATAGATAACCAAACTGAAGCTCTTTCCCCCAGATTCGGCCACAGGTCTTATACAAAGTAGATGCTTCGTAAATATGTTTTAAATGAATGAATAAGTAAATATCCATTATCATCATACAATTGTAATCACCTTCAGCCTCATCAGCATCTATGAACTCACAGCAGCAAGCTTTGAGCCAGCACTATACCGAGTACACAGTGGGACCCCGTGATTCTTTGCCAAATACAAAAGGTAATCCCAGTGCAGCTTGAGAATCTTCCTGATGTCATGATGATCCCAGGAGGCATCATAGGGACCGTTGTTCTTTGCAACCCAGATGTATCATCACCGAGGAGTAGGCCAGGGAGCATTTGTGTTGGCCTCTAAACCTTAGAGCTGCAGCAGCAACACAAACACTTATTTTTCAGTATGTCCTTCCCTCCCCCCACCCCAAGTCTCGGGTTGAGAATGTCTGTTTTCTGTCTTTGAGGGAGAGTGACCAGATGTGGTTTCCTCCAGCTGTTTCTGCAGTCCCCACACGAACCTCAGAATGCAGGGCAGGTGTCTTTCTGTCATCTCACCTCAGTGGGGTTTCTCACCAGTCTGTCAGAAAGGCCTGGCCACCTGCAGGTGAATGAATGCTTTGGCCTTACTCCAGACAACTGTTTCACCCCCACAAAGTCAGTGGACATCCACTTGTCAAGACTGATGTGCCGGGGCTGCTAAAAGGAGAACTTGATCATGGGAGACTCTGCCCCTGATTGATGGTGCCCTGCTGTGTTTTTCAGGCTGTGGTAGTAACAGACGGAGAGCGCATACTGGGACTGGGAGACCTGGGCTGCTATGGCATGGGCATCCCTGTAGGCAAGCTGGCCCTGTACACGGCGTGTGGAGGAGTAAACCCGCAACAGTGCCTCCCTGTCCTGCTGGACGTTGGCACCAACAACGAGGTAACTGGCTGCCCAGGTCCAAAGCTCAGGGGCTGGAAGGCGGGAGCTGGGATGGGGTGAAGAGCACATTTAATGGGCAGTTATAACTACATAGCAAAGGGCCATTTCTTCCCAGAAAGCCCCTTGGCCTGGGCATACACCCTACACAGCTGTGGAGTGGAGGGCCTTCTCCTCCCTGACTGCCCGCTCCCCAATATTCTTATCCCGCTCTCACTTCTGTGTGTGTGTGTGTGTGTGTGTGTGTGTGTGTTTTAGTTGGTCTCACTCTGTCACCCAGGTTGGAGTGTAGTGGCACACTCACGACCAGCCATCGCAGCCTCTACCTGCTGGGCTCAGGTGATCCTTCTGCCTAAGCCTTCCAAGTCCCTGGAACTACAGACACGCGCCACCACGCCTGGCTAGTTTTTTGATTTATTGAAGAGATGAGGTCTCGCCAAGTTGCCGAGGCTGAACTCAAACCCTTGGGTTCAGGCAGTCCTCTCACTTCCGCCTCCCAGAGTGCTGGGATTATAGACGTGAGCCACCATGCTCGGCCCCCCTCTTACTTCTGACCCCTCTTGTTCCTCTACTTCCATGACCCCTGCTTGGGCTTCCTTTCCTTCCAAACCCACGACCCCACACAGTTTTCATTTCCCACAGGGCAGGTATACCACCAGGCTGTGGTTTTTAGCATTTTTGAGGCAAGTTGCCTCAGTGGAAGAATTAAAACTGAAAACACCAGGACCAGGGACCAAAATATCTGAATCAGGCAGATGGATGTCCTGCAAACAAGTGAAAGGAACTGAGCTGATCTGTGGGTGAGATCCACCTGCAGTATCCTATATGATTTGGGATTTAAGAAGCTCAAACCCTAGCCAAGAGTTTGTCTGCTCTGGGTACCACCATGGGACACAGGGTTTATGCATGTCTGTGATTCTCAGCCCTGTGTCTGTGTCTGAAACATGAAAAAATATTCCAGATATTCCTTCTTAATGACATTTGTCTTTAAGTTGAGTGCATGTTCATTTTTTAAAACTGAGAAAACTCAGGAAGTGTGAAGAATAAAATACATTCTCAGTCACATAGCCAGTATTAATCATTGCTTACATGTTGGTATGCTTCCTTCCAGACTTTTTTCCCAAAACCAAATTTGGGTTTGTATTGCATACCCAGTTTTTTTTTTATCCTACTTATTAAAATTTAATATCTGTCATGAGTTTTTTCCCAAATCACTAACCACTCTTCCAAAATGTCATTTTAATAGCTGCCTCAAGTATCTTACTTTACCTAAGAAACCCCCCACGGTTGGACATTTAGGTGTTTCTCATCTGTTTATAAATATAAATTGTGCTCTGACACCCATTTCTGCAGATCAGTCTTTGTGTCCATCTCTGAGGTTTGTCTTAGGATAAATGCCTAGAAACAGAAACTATTGACACAAAAGAAATGGTCATTTTATTTAGATTCTTGATTCACCTTGTCCAAGAGGTTATATTTGCTTGCATTTTGCAGTGATCTCTCAAGAACACTTACCACGACTCTGAATGGCCTATCTCTTCCCTAGATACCATATGTCCCATGTCAAACAAGAGTGAGCACTATAGCTCCTAGTAAGGAATGATGCTTATTCGGGCTTTATCCACAGACATGATCAGATGAGAAACACTGAATAGACCTTGCTTAAGAGCTAGGAAATCCTGGGGTCACAGGTGAGAAATGGGAACCCTGGTTCCAGAACCAGAGATGAGCCAGTGAGTCCCTGCACCTACTTGGACTTGGTCCTTCTCAGTGCAATGAGGGACTGGATCAGAAAGTTACTGAGCATCCTTCAACCTCAAAGAATGCTTTTTCCCCATATGCTTCCTCACTAGCTCAGAAGACAAGAGGCTAGATGACCACAAGCCTCATAGCTGCTTGTCAAGACCAGTCTTCAAGTTCTGCTCTGCACAGTGGTTCGTTTCCCCCAGCCAGATGTCTGGGTTTTGCTGAAATTGTCCTTCAGCAAAGTTATCTTTTCAGAGTACATCCTTGCAGGCATGGACTCTTTCTATCCAACACCTCCTGCTGTGTTCCAACTGGATTTAATGGATATTTTCACTCCTTTTCCTGAAAGCTGGCCCTAGGCAAGAATTGGAACAGCTTGAGTTTGACTCTGAGGCCACTGCATCCCCTGGAAGGGTATTGGTTGACTCTAGCAGGTGCGATAGGGTCTTTTGTTGTTGAAGGTCTAGCACCTAGAAAAGATATACTAAAGCTTAGGGTTGGTCCCAACTTGTGACAGATCCACCAGGAAAGATGGCCGAAAACTAGCAGTAACCATGGGCCAGACCCTTTTCACAGACCCCCTGGTTTAAGCTTTATAATAATCCTATGAGTGGAGCATCTCTTATTACCCTCTTTTTTACAGTTTAGGAAACTGAGGCCCAGAGAGTTGCGTTTTCCCAAGAAGATCCACTAGAAGCAGCAGGGCTGAGACCCTAGTCCAATTTTGTGCTTTCTCCCCACATGACACCCCTGCCTCCATTTCTATTGCTTCATAAGTAAAGATCATTTTTTTTAATTTTTAGAATAGTTTTTACTAAAATGAATTTACAGCATCATTCAATTTTAAAAGAAAAAGAAAATGGCATTTCTCCCACAATGTTACATTTGTGTTCCTTTCCAGTATTTATCTATGTATATAAATAGATGTAGTTATGACCTAGGTGTAATCATAATGTGATTTGTCCTAATTTTTTCAATTAAGATTATTCTGTGAACACTTTGTCTTTGCTTATTTAATAAAAGTTGATTGGGTGTTTAGTAGGTGTCAGGCACCCTGCTGAGCATGAGGGAAATGAATGAGAGCTAGACTTGAGTGGAATATTCTAGCTGTCAGTGTTTCAACACTGTCACCTAATTGATCATTTTAATTTGTCATGTGTTACGTTTGCTCCAAGTATCTGCTTCTCCTCCTGGGATCTTAGGCCTCTAGAATCACTTCTTGCTCCTGGGTATAGAAGGGAAAGAACTTTCCCAGATCCATCCCCTTCATGTCAGGGAGGGACCAGAGTATCACCCAGCTGAGAGGAGAGAACATGCCTGACCTGCTCCCTTGCCCCCACCCCCCCACACACACCATGGTGATTAGAGGAAGCAGTTCTTACCCAATCCAGTAAGAACAATACCAGCTGCCATTCTTCAAGCACCTGCAATGTGCCAGGCGTGTTTCTAGGTCTTTATGTATGTTATATCTTTTAATTCCCACAATAGCTGTATAAAATACTATTCTTCCCATTTCACAGATGAAGAAACCAAGACTGAAACAAGTCAACTACTTGCTTCAGATCCCACAGCTCTGAATGATAGAGCTGAGATTTGAACCCAACTCTCTCTGGTTCCAGAGCTGCCTTGTCCACCGTGGTACTCCATGGTGTACTGCTCCAAGGAGTCAGGTGTTAGCATCATAGACTGGGAAATGAGGACTGAGAAGGTTGGTGTTTCATGCAGGCAGGATTCCATAGCCACTCAGGATCAAGTCAGAGCCCAGTGATGCTATCTATACTGCCCCCTATTTACACTGAAGGTGGGCCCCCTCCAGACCTACTGCAGGAAATTCAAGACACAAAAATTTGAAGTTAAAACGTGACCAACATTAGAAAGACGGTGATTTATCTCTTTTCAAATGGACTTACTATATGATCTCTCAAACTATAGTTCCTTTTAAAAAATGAACCACTATGCAAGATTTTTCCCTCCGAAGGGGCACATCTTTTGCTCAGAGCAAGCCAGAGCTGTAACACGGGGAAGCTTAGCCTTGCAACTTCTGTCTCACCTGTCAGAGCAGGGAAGATGCTGTTGCAAGGGTTCTTAGTGTCAGAATAACTAGACCATCTGTGTGTGTGTCTGTATAAAAACTCCTGAGGCAACTGGAGCTTTAATCACAGTCAAAGAAAACACCCCTCCAGGTTTCCTGTTGAAGGAAAACATCTGCTGTCTACAGCCCTAAAACTCTGAGTCACTTTTACCTGCCAGTACCAATATGGAAAAATAAATGTGTGGAGGCAGTGATTCCATGAAGAAGGGACACCCCATGATTGAATTCCAAAGGGCAGAGGAAGGAAGCCCTCCTGGCTACACAGAGCACCTGCCCAGCCTTCCATCATGGCTGAACGTAGACTGGTTTGTATATTTTGTTTCACCTACACACAGACAGTCACATATTATCCAAGTTAGAAGGGACCTTAATACTACCTCGTTCAACCTTCTTGTTTTACGTGGAAAAAGAAGCCCAGAGCAGAAATGACTTCCCCACGGTTTGACTCTAAGGCCAGTGCTCATCCTACTCTATGCTAAGGTTCTGTTAGTTACCTAGGGTGGGGCGTGGCTTTAAAATGGCTCTTCTGTGTCTCAGAGGTCTTCTCCTAGCAGAAGTCTTGAACCTCTACAAAGTCATCTCACAACGAGAGGCTGTGTGAGCTTCTGGAACTGATGAATGGGCGAAGGGAGGGGAGACGGTGTCTGGCTGGGGAGACAAACATAGGAACAGGCTGTCAGAAGAGCCTGGTAAATGTTGCCTTGGGAGTGAGGATTGCTGAGGAAGCACAGGGTCAACCTCCAAGCTGGGTGTTGCAGGGATTTTTCTACCTTGCAAGTTTATCATTACTGTGACTAATAAATATTCAGCATTCACTGTGAGGGGCCATCAGAGTGCTCACTCTCTACACAGGTGTGGACCATGAGGATGCCCTTCCTAGGGTCTTTGTAGCTTACCCCTGGGCTTCACTGAGCTTTCCAAGGAATGAGTGGTAGGCAGCACTGCCACCTGAGGGGGAAGGCTACTGTGCTCACAGTAGGAACCCAATCCCATGACCTCCCAGATCCCTAGATGCTCTGAGTAGCCTCTTGGCATGCCTGTTGCTATGCAAGATAAATATTGTTTCAACCAAGAGGTTTATCTGTCTTCTAGTTTAAATCCAGTGTTCACTGATATGGCCAGTGAAGAGGAGGAAACCATTTCGTTTTCCATGACATTTTGCCTC